CTCTACATTCTTACTATCTTGACTCATTGATTTTGGTTGCACTCTAAACCAAAATTTATAAACAAAAACCTAAACACAATAATGTCATCATGTCTTTACTCTACAATTAGTCTCCATCCCCAAATACAAGGACTTTTGATGTTTAAACTTTATCCAAAACTTTAAGTACTTTTGAGTATCTAATCAAATAGTTGGTTAACTAGGAGTTAGTCTGTAACACCCTCGGTGTTACGCCCTAAACCAACTACTAAGCCACGTTATGAGCATCATGTTTATGTGTTAGAACATGTGGGAAAATAAAAATAGAATTTTGGTTGTACTAGAAATGCCCAACGAAGATTTAGTTACGAAAGGTTCTAGTACTTGTGTGTTATCAAGTAGGCTTATAAAATAATTTTTATTAAGCAAAAATGTTATAAAACATGTATGTGATATTTAAATAAAATTTGAAGTACAAACTTTGTAGATGACAATGCAACTTTTGTCTTAGGAAAATAATATTGCTAGCTAGTATTTATAATAGCTTAGAAATAGAACTTGAAATTAAATCCAGCTCAAGACTTAGAAAAATCCGTAAGTTTGAAAACAATGTGACAAGGCTATGTTGGTGAATTAATTTTGGAAAATTTAGCTAAAGGTCAGTGCTATGTTTTTGTTCCGTATGGTAGTTTGATGTACCCTCTTTAGCATGGTTTAGGTGGTCGTGCCTCAATCAAATTGATTTAGTTTTGGCAAATGCATTAAAATGCATGCACGAACATCATCTCGGGTTGGTTGGCCAGGTGGGCGCGGTCACCATGCTCGGGAGCACGACGTCGCCATGTTTGGCCGCCCGTGCACACGCGCGCTGCCGCGTGTTGGTCGGCCGAGGCTGTCCTCGGACTAGCCGTGGCCTGGCTGCGGCTTGGTCGCCGCGCTACCGTGCACAGAGTCGTCGGGGCATGCGCAAGGAAATTCGAGTAAAGTCAGAGGGTTAAATGAATTCATCAGAGAGACATAGAAATAGTGTTGTGGGTTTAGGTGTAATTCGGGATAAGCTCGAGGTCTCTTTTGCAAAAGAGCCAGCACGCGTGGGGTCCCCTGTCGTGGGCCGCGCGGAATTAGTAATAGTTTTTCCATTTCAATTTCTAAGCTAGATTTGTATAATTGATATAAATTCGTGTAGGTGTCCAAAAATTGCGAAACAAATTTTTGTTAGCTTTCTAAAATTATGATCTACCTGTTAGTATAGTTAGTTCATACATATTTGTGTCGGTACTAAGGTCTATTAAACCACTTGAAAGTGTTTAATATTATTAGAATAATTATTGTAGGAATTTTTGTGGTAAATTGGTGATAGCTTTAATCCGGAAATTTTTACCGTGGCTTCATTGTATTATTATGTGCTCACTGTAATTTTTGTGGCCTTAGACTAGACTAAACATTAGGGTAGTTAAATGTTATATATTTAAATATACATTAAATCTTTAATAGAAATAAAGGCATCCATTGAATTGCGAAACTAGGTGCTTGTTAGTTAAACTCAATATCTTGCTTGATGAAGATGATAGTTTAGTATCTTAGTCATTAGAGCTAGCTTAGTAGCTTAACATGTGTATTCTTATTTTAAGAGTTGTTATTGTCTAAATACTAAGTTGTTGCATCATCGTCGTCGCATGCATATAGAGAACGAGTCGCTGGAGATCGTGACCACCGGCGATCACGAGTTCGAGGAGATCGTCGAGGAGTACGAGGAGATTCTCGTGCTGGAGGAGGTCTCGGAGCTACCACTGACTGACTCAACTGACACCGCGCCTGTCCAACACAAGCCCCGGTGCATAACCTCTATTTTTCATATATATATATATATGTGTGTGTTGTGCATTTACGTTATAGGAAAATTTTGTGGAAACCACATGCATATATATACCCTATGAGTTCTAATAGTGCAGGTTCAAGTAGTTGTTATGCTTAGGTTGTCGGTAGCGTGAGTAACCTGTCGTTACTCACAATAGGTGATTATTATTACTTTCATAATAAAAATGATGAAGAGAAAATAAAGACCGAGCAGGGATAGGGTATGGGTTACTAGTGGGTGTAACAAGTTGTGTCACGCGGCCACTGGTCTTAGCTTGGTTACACTGTTTTTACTGTCTATGTCGATTGAGGACCGTCTGTTGCTGTGGATGGTAGTCAGGTCATAGACTTATTATCCTGAGCACATACTTGCCTATGGGAGCGGGAAGTCTCGTTGCGCTCTTGTCGTGGGTTTCGGCTCTTTCCGGACCGACTGATTGGAGACGGGGAAAGGTGAAGGTCTAAGCACCATGCTGAGACCAAAAGATGAGCGCCTCCGAAAGCGTGTTATTTGGGACGGTTCTGTCACATAGTCCGGCCATTAATTATGCCAATCAAGAACTGTCATGCCTACTTTCATGAGAATCAAGAAAGATTTTTTTTTTCCTCCTCACATAATTTCTCCTAAAATCCTTGTATTTTGGGATCTAATTTTTTTTTAAATGGAGTTTTATACCGACTCTGCTAGAGTTTTGCACCCCAACTGTTCATTATTCGAGTTCTAGCTGTCAGATGATTTAGGACTCCCAAAATGGTACGCAAAACTTGGAGACAATGCAAACTCAAATGACAAAGTAAGCGCTAAGCCTATCTGAAAACAACCACCCATTTTGGTGAAAATCTCCATTGTGGTTATCTCTAGCAAGCAACATGCCCACTTCATTCTAAATTTGTCGTTTTCCTTCTGAAGAATGGACCAATAGCATGTCTAATATGTAGCCCTGAAGGTAACCAGCAAACAAGAATAGAACGTTTCTTTCCCAAAGACTACATTATTTTTTTATCAGCCAAATATACCAACAGATTAAATTGCACTTTCCCGAGATGGCAAACTTGTGTCTACTTGTGCCCAAACCCTAAATAAATCCATTATATTTCTAAGGGGTCGTAAAGATCCTCCAAACAAATCTTGTGATATGACAAAAAAACAAGTTGTTGCATAAACAACAATTATCATGATATTTCTTACACCATTTTAAGATATCATCGTTTGTTAAAATATCTCCCTTCAATAAGGACCAATCAAAGATATTAATTTTTAGAGGTAACTTTAGCTTACTTGAAGGTCAGAGGCAATGCAATCTAATTTACTAAAAGTTTATACATGAATTGTGCGGAAAACACCCTTTGTAAGTAGAACCCCATCCGATAGAATCGGTTTTTTTGGATAAAATCTGGTAGAATCAGTTTTTGTATAAAGTCTTATAGAATGAGGTTGGTCTCTGCTCTAGTAACTCACCCGTTCCACTTGTATGTATTTTGGGATAGAGTGAGTAATTTTGAATCCATTAGAAAAAGTCAATGTACGATGCGTAATTACACGAGAGCACTACTTCCAAGACACAAGGAAGAAATAGACCGGCACGAACAGGCCAGGGCATTCAATTAATTCGGTTTGGCTAAATCGTTATCAAGAATTTTGTTTTGGTGAAAGTTAACCGAATTTATTGCCAAATAAAACTACCAACCAAAATTAGTTTCAGTCAAATTGGTTCGGTTAATCGGTTAACCGTAATACATATTGTACTTCTATAGAAAATAATACAACAACATAATCGTATTAAAAAGCACCTAACAAGAAATGCATCATATAATAAAACAAAAGGAAAAGCAACAAAGAATGCTTCTAACAAATAAAGTCTCATAGAAATACGTTCACAAATGCAAATTGGCATAATTTTAGTCTTTGATATAAGACTCAGAAAGAATTTTGGTTAAACCGATTGATTCGGTTAATGCCTTCGGTTAACGAATAACATCAAATTCTTCACCGGATAGTTCATGAAAATTTCAGTTAATCGACTTTTTCTGTTAAATCGGTTCGGTTTGGTTAATCAGTTTCAGTGAAATTTCTCAACCCCTAAGCATGAACGCGTCCTCTACTCAAATCATTTCCGCTCCAGCATGGACATGCCACGTTGTATGTCCGTGAACTTAGCCTAGTGTCCAAAAACCTACTCTCTCTGTCCCAAAAAGAATGCAATTCTAGGTTTTGGATAAGTCACAAAATTTTAAGTTTGATCAAATTTATAGAAAAAGATATCTACGTTTGTGTCTACAATTAGATTTACTATGAAAATATATTTCATAATCAACGTAATTATACCTATTCAGTATCCTAAATATTAGTAATTTTTTGTATAAATTTGATCAAACTTAAAATTGTTTGATTTTTAGTGAAGTGAAAATTGTTTTTTTTTTATGGAGGGAGTATGGATCTGCGGAGGAGTTGTTTTCCAGTTGATTGTTCGGCTTGGCTTCGGCTCCTGCAACAGCTTCTCCGGAGGAGTTGTTTTCTAGTGGATTGTAGAGGAGCCGAAGTCATTTTGGTGTGCGAAGGTGCTCCTGCTAAGTGCCCGGCTGCAGAGGAGCACTAGGAGTAGCCATGTCAAATAGCGTCTGAGTACCGGGAGTAATTTTGAGGAAAACGTCAACATGCGATGCGTAATTACACGAGAGTACTGCTACCGTATCGAGACGCGGGGAAGAAACGAACGGGCACGAACACGGTCCTCTGAATAACCTCGAATCGTTCCCGCGTGGACACGCTATCCGTGCTTCTTGCCTCTTCTCTCGGAGGAAAACCGGCAGGTCCCTTGTGTATAAATAGCGGCGTCCCCACTCCAGGCCACCCTCTCCCGTCTATTCTTAATCACCGCTTCTCCTGCTGGTCACGTCGTTTCTCCGCCTCTCTTTCTCTCCCCCGTCCCCGGCGGCCGGCCGGGCGTCGTGTTCGTCGTCAGCGAGGGCTATATCTCCCTCACGGCCATGGCGACTCCGGTATCCTTCTCTTATACACTGCGGCCTGCATGCTTTGCTTTTCCTAATGTCTGGCGTACTATATGATCTATCGATCGGCCGCATGCATGCATTGCCATATTCCCAGTTTCTTCGCTCAGATGCATCTCAATTTCATGCATTCTAAAATCGGGCGTTGCGTACCCATGCCGGACCGGCCGGTTGGTCCGGCAGTTTCTTCATGTGCTCGCGTCGCGACGCCGTGAATGAATTCAGCAATTCCCAATTGGACGGTAGTGTTATCGACTGACGCGCATGCATGCCGTGTTACCGGCGTTGCGTTGCAGGACAAGGGGCACGGGCATCCGCTGCCCAAGTTCGGGGAGTGGGACGTGAAGAATCCGGCCACGTCCGAGGGCTTCACCGTCATATTCCAGAAAGCCCGCGACGGCAAGAAGACCACCGGCCCCGGGAACGTGCGAGCAGGCATACCGCCGGCCTTCAGGAACGCCGGCGGCGACGGCGGCGACGGCGGGTACAGGCCTGACTTCAAATACGGCGACAGCAGCCAGTACACGCCGCCCAAACGCATCAAGGTACGTGTCTGTCTTTGCACTCTTACGTACGTACACAATGCTCGTGGTTATATATACACACCATACACCGTGGATCTTGCGTGTGCTGACACGTGGACCTCTGGATAGCAGAAGAAGTGGGCCTTCTGTGGCTGCTGATTCAAAGCTCGCTGCTGCTGCTGACTCGAAAGGAGAACGATCGTGCCGCACCTGAAGTAATCCAGGATGGGAGCGCCGGGACAGACGGGAAAACATTTCAGCCATGCTGTGTCGCCTTGCTTTTACCTTTTGCTCATTTCTACCGAGGAACAGTAGTTCCATCGGGGTTGAAACGAGTTAGCAACATGGCTTGTAACTGAACCTGCAAATGTTCATGATGAAACCGTCGCGTCATTTGTTTCATGCCTCGTTATGACCGTACTTGCAAAAAACTTAACGATCACCCTGCCGGCAGCGGCAAGCAACGATGCAAACCATTCGCTAATCATTCACCAGTCACAGACTCTCTGATGCAATGCGTGTTTCTTTCGTGCATTCAGTCAACACAGACTTTGCCAAATTATAAGGTCAGCGAATATATTATTATATATGCTGGCAACCATATGCTATTTCATCGAAAGATTAAACAACAGCCTCAGAAAAGTCAGCACTCAGTAGGCAGTCGTTCATGGCTACTAAAACTTTGACACATGCTGTGACATGCACCAGATGTACCAGAGCGCGTTTATATAACAGATGAATTAAGCACCAAAGTACCTGGGACAAATGGAAGCTATATTCTTTAGTTTACACAAATTTGAAACAAGTTCTAAATATGACAACAATCAACTGACTGCATTTGAGCCAAAATTTTCGTACAAATAGCACCAACTACAGTAATAGACATGTAGCCAGACCAGATATCACCCATTCACCTATCAGTTATTTACCAGGGTGACACAACCAGAATCCCACTATGTGGTTGAAGAAAGGAGAAGGAAGACTACTTTCAGAATTTTGCGTCTCGATTGTAGCCCACACACTACAGGCACATAGCAATAAACCACCATTAAATTATGTTACAGATCAAACCTAAGCATCTCCATGAGACGAGTTGAATCTTTGAGGCTCCATAAGATGCATGGTCCGGGACCACCTTCCTCCAATAGTGTAGAACAGAAAACCCACATATGATCCTCAAACTGTTTGTACAATAATGGTCCGACCAGTTCCAAGTGCTTCTTGCACGTCCACAATCATATACCATCCACCATCAAGTGAGCGAAACTCTGCTGCCCTCAAGTTCATTTCATTTCTCACGATTTTGTTCACCCATTGGATACTCTGATACAGCACTGTCAGCAACTGGTTCAGGGTGCTTGATTGAATCAATATCAGATGAAACAGGCGATGCTGCTTCTGTCTCAGACACTGAAGATCCAAGCATACCATCACTCTTCTTTTCCTCTCCTAACTTGGCATCGCAATCCATGGAATCCAGCTGCTTCTCACTTTCAACCTCCATATCAAGAACTGCAGTATCCTTCTCAGCAACATCACCAGGTTCAGCTTCTTCCTCCTTCCATTCTACAAACTCAGGTTGACTCTCTTTTACATCCGGAGTTGGTGGTCTGATATCATCTTCCAATTTGTCAATGGTACCATTTGCCAAGCCAGTGTGACCAGACTCTTTGTTTGCGTCTTTGTTGGACACTGGTAGAGGTGGTTCAGAACCTTTTGTGTCATCTATAACCTCGCCAAGAATGACTTCATCATTTTCATCATCCTCTTTTAGTGCGGATATTTCCGAATTTGGAGATGGGGAAGCTTCTGAGCTAACCACACCATCATTCAGTGCTTTGTCCTCTTCAAATGCAAACCAATTGGAATTTGTAAAGAGCGAGCCACTGCAAACGGCATCCTCATTAGTCAATTCTTGTTGCAAACATCAAATGTGCTTACAAAAGGAAGAACAGTAGTCAAATCAAATAGAATAAGAATAAACCTTTCTTGCTCGTCTCCAAGGCGAAGGGAGGAGATTACTACCTCTGCAGATTCATCATCAAAATATACATCCTGCAGCAGATATAATAACCAGAAAGGAAAACATCAAACGTCAGGAAATACAATCTGTTCAGTTCAATTCAAAATGATACAATGAATCTAAACAGTAAATCTGAATATACCTCATCATCCCGCTCAAGTGATGCTTGAGCCTGCATGTATCAAATATAAACAAAAAGTTACTGAATAAATTTTAAAAAATGTGTTGCAGCTACAGCCAAAACTTGCTGTTTAGGTCCATAATAAAAAATAAAAATATTCTTTTAATGTAATTGAGCATTTTGGATCTCAGAAAAAAACAATGATTCAATCTCTTAATGTAAATCAATATGCCTATATATAAAGCACTAAAGTGTGCTAATAGAACAAACTAGAAACAACTGCACTAATCAAGAGAAACTGACCTCGTCAATATCCTCATTACTGTAAATACCATATTTAAATGCCTGGCTTAAATTACTAGCAAGTGCAGCCACATCGTAGTCCCTATCTCGGAAGTCTTCATCATCGCTATCCCTACCACGATCCTGCAGTGATGTTGGTCGACTATAACCAGAAAAGAAAGCAGAAATTTAGCATATGATCTTTCATCCCACTATATCTCTTTACACATAGCAAAGCCAAAGCAACTGAAGTCTGTGGCAACTCCATATACTTCATGCGAACATGCAGGACATATTGACTGCCCTTTGAAAGTATTAAAGAATTGATAGATTTGGCATTAACATCCTAGAGAGGCAGAACAGCAGAAGTCTAACCACATCTGGGCCAAGCCGTTAGCGCAACATGAGGGAACCTCTGAAACATCACAATATTGTTATTGGTGATTCCTTATATGTCACTGCAATTATTTCCTAACCCATCATATATGCATTTAATGTGTCAATGACATATGGATTGCAGACCCACATGCCAGTGACATTCAAGGAAATTTTCAGATTCCTCGTCACATTAGAGAAATTAGCTCTTGTTCATCCAAGCGAAAAAAGAGAAAACATCCTAGTGAGAACATCTTCTTCCTCCTCTTTTTTTGTAGGACATAACTTGTTCGTAATGGACTTGTTACTCCACAAACATCTGTTCACTATAGTTCCTTCCAAATCTAGCTAGAAGTCTAGGAGTAATGCAGGATGCGCTTTTGGATATCAAAGCAGCACAGTTGTGGTTAACAGACGTGCAATGTTTCTAAAGCAATCACATTGCCTAATACTACTTTCTGTCCGTAGTCGCAGATTTTATGATTCATAACGACAAGCGAGTACATGGAGAATTCAAATTTGCAGTTAAATAAAAAAAAAATGCACAAGATAAACCATAAAAAAGCTAAAATGTACTTACCCGCAAGCCCACTGGTAAACATTTTCTAATGCATTACGCTTCGTTAGGGTACTGGCATGCCACTCAATCCAATCAGAATTTTGCTGCAATCAAATTAAGCCTGTTATATAAAATTGGCTGTTGCTTGAATCATCAAAAGCAAATCACACGAACAGTTCTTTTAGGAATGAACTTATACAGCAAAGATGAACAAACAAAGATAATACAGCTGGCAACAAGCACAATAATTGGCACAAAAGGCGCCCCAGAAATCTGCAAGATTGTATTGTACAAAACCTTAACATGTACATTCTACCAGCATATACAATCATGATAAACAATGGGTATTGCAGAGGCTACAGTACTGCAGGTGAATTTAACTTGCATCTATCAAGATTTCCTAGGAACAAAACTTCCATCAAAGAACTTCAGGGGTGATATTTCTCAAACTCTGACTTCACATGAAGCTCAATACAACCTATAGAATCAAGATGGCAACAATAAGCAAAAAAGTTTACGTGACATTATTTTATTTTGAGCATTGTACAATGATCATCAGATAAAAATTGCACGTGAATTAGTGAGGCAGACCGAGTAACATGTAAACAATTGCAGTTTTTTCTCTATACAATGATCATTGAACTCAAACCTGCAAATGTGATTGAACCATGATGTTAGTATTGGCCAGCTGAAGGAGCTTGTTAGCTATCCGTGTCATATGACCAACAATTCCAATCCTTGGTGGAGATCTTCCCTCTGAAGACAATGTATGCTGCAAGAAAAATATAAGTGAACAAAAAAAATATAAAAAAAGATGATAAAGGTAAACCACAGACAATTTGATTTAACTACCTTAGTTAAATCTGACGACAGAGCAGAGTTCTTCTCTGCTTCCAGAATTCTTGTAACAAGTTTACACTCATCAAGGACATGGCCAATCAGTTGATCCTGCTTACTCTCCAGACATGACCCGATGATATTCTCAACATGGTGGTGCAAAAAGTTGTTAAAAGGGTACCTAATGATAAAATCTGTGTCAGGGTTTCAATAGTTTTCATATGCAGATTCCAATATTTAACTTACTCAAAAAATAGATCTATAGCGTGCTTGATTGCTCCTAGTTGAATCAGCCGTGTTTCGGCAGCTTCACTACCAATTGATAGTAGAACGGAGATGAACTCAACAATCTGAAAATGAAATAACCAGCGTTAATAACAAAGAAAAATTAGAACCATTACCTGATATTATATAAAGTAAAAAATCAAAGAAACAGGTAGTATTAGTGCTCTGGATAAACCAAGCAATCCTTGATATTTTCCACGAAAGATGTGTGTGTAAACCAACAGTGGCATCAAATGAAAAGTTCTCCAGCACTAGTTGCTGTGCAGTTTAGTTCATGACTATTTAAAATCAGCAAATAAACAAAACAAGTACTGCTTACCTTTAAGCGATGTTTCCCGAGTGGAGGTTGTAAGCTTCCGTATGTCGTTGGCAGAACATTTTCAGCATATGAAACATCCAGCAGCTTCAACAAATCCCCTGAAATATCATAGGTAAGAACATAGATGTTCAAAGGACACATTAGATAGATGGTTGTAGCTATGATAACTCCATAAGTAAAGATAGATGGAATTTACAAATTAAACAACCACCAACCTAGGCTATCCAGCATGCCATTTACTGTCTCTGGACTTGCAGTGACAAGTGTTCCATGGCTCAACTGACTACGGAAAGCCTGGTAGGAAGCCGATACAAGTCTCTTAGGATCTAACAAAGATATGCACACTGATAATGAGTGGACCAGCACCGATTTAGGCCTTGAATCTTCAAAAGCATGTTGAAATAATCTCCCCACAAAGCTGTAAATGTGAAGTAAAAAAAGAATGGCCATAACTATGTTGAACATCAAGTTGAAAAGACAAAACCACCACACTATAAAAATCTTGATAAATTTAAACAGTAGTACAACTCACAATTACCTTGGACTGGAAATCTTTGCAGCAAGTGCTGGAGGGGCATATCTAGTTACTGCACAAAGGATTTCAGCAGCATTTGCATGAACCTCAGGAGAATCCTGCAATATAGGTAAAATAAAGAGAATCACATTGAATGCAAAAGGCACAAATTCCCAAGAAAATGTGATCCATTCAGTGCAATTACTCCACAAAAATGACAATGTGAACCAGAAATTGGATCATTACATCTTAGGTCTGGAGGAGATTGGACTAGTCATATAGGATCTGGATTAGAAAGTTGTAGCCAAAGCTAATGCAATTGATAACCACATTATATGAGTCAATGGTTATTCTAAAAATGGGGCATCAAGAAACCCAGTTTTTGTACAAGGCCTATCATGCTTTGCCAAGTCAATTAAATACAATATGTTGGTTTTTATCATCCCTTGAATCCAACCTGGCACTGTCAACCAGCAGTGCTGTTTTACCCACAACCAACAGAATGGAACAGGCAAAGGCCTTTCACGATAAGAGAAGCATTGCTTTCTGATAAGCTCAGTGAGGACAATTGAGAAATAACGTTTCAACAACATTTACTGATTTACACAGATGTCAACAGATGCAAACTTAGGTAGTTTCAAACAATGAACAGGATAAATGGATAACTGAAAAGGTTAGATGCTAAAAACAATCTTTAGTTCTTACTGATGTGCTGAACTTGTCAACAATCATCTCAAGGACTTGTATGTCATCTAACCATTGCATAGAATCTGCATAGCTTGAATACATAGCTTCATCCGCACCGATTAAGCGAATCAAAACCTGTACAAACCAACAAACAATCAAACTATATAAACTGGGTCATTAATTCATTGTATGGGAAAAGTACGTTTTCAAATTAGCCACTTTGTGCAAAATGTTTTTTTTGACAAGTCTTTGTGCAAAATGTTAGCACGGCCAAGCCCTCATTTGCCAGTATCACAAGCAATATACTTTTTTCAGCACCTTTACCAGTGATTAAAGTAACAATTTGCAGTTATAGTATAGTTTTAGAGAAAACTGACCTCCATGATAGAAGTAATCCCAATAAGATCAATAAGTTGGCTAACTATTTCAGGATGGCCCTGTAGAAACAAGACAGTTTGGGAATAATCATTACATATTCAAAGTGCTCATTTTAGAAACAACACACAGGGTAAGGAGAGATACAAAAGCATTGCATGGATGTGATAGCCATCCAGAAGCATTATGTTCCAAGGGGGTTAGTGGTGTTTCATTATAGGTATAGTACGAAGTAAGCATTATTAGATATACCAGTGCATGAACAAGACAAATAACAAATAAGGGACATCAGTGAATCAAACAGAACCTACAAGAGCAAAAGAAGAGCTAAAAACTGGTCAAAGAGGTACACAAACCTGCACATAACTAACTAGTGGGAGTGTCTTCCTCATCATCAAGCAAATCACTACCTGCAAAAATAAGAACATGATCATTTAGAATGTCAGTACAAGAATCAGCAAATTACCATTTTGATCGTGCAACTAGAGATTTTTCTTCCAGAAATAAACAGATGCATAAAAGTACCTTGGCAAAGTAACCAGCCGACAATGTCCCATGAGGGTGGTCAGGTTTCAGGAAGGAGAAAAGTAAATTCATAAGCTGCACAGAGATCACAACTTCATCAGTTGCAAGAGACAATTTTACACACAATTGGGAGAAACAGTAGTATCAGAATTGCATCTCAAAAACAATGACAAGGTTAAAAGTAAAGCATACATCTTCATCCTCCACTAATGTCTTCATGATGACATCCACTTCACATGTAAATATTTCACAAGCTATAAACGGAAATCTGCACAGTCGTATTCCATGGTTTTGAATAAATTCCACATTAGAAGATTGCAAAAAATGAGTTTTACATAATCTTAGTTACCCATGCTATACCTAAATATCCTTTTCTTTTCTGCATCTTCAGGAGCCTCTTCTACAATATAGCGGAGCAATTGTTCCACTTGAACCCTGTCCCGCAAACTGCACTAACAAGAATACACAGATTAGTTCATTACCAAAAACAAAATAATGTTTACCACTAATATAGGAAAAGGACAACCACAATGTAACAGTGCTCTAGAAAAGAAACAGTACAAATTGATTAAGCGGGTATTCAGTGCTTTGCACTCCTGAATTATTTCATCCTCATCAAGAAGATCCTCCAACTTAAAATTTTCCTTGTCCAAAATAGTATCCACCTGAAAGAGATAAAGGAATGTTCAGTTAATAAATAAGTGTACCTTAGGAGAAAAAATACGAACATCAAAGTGCAAGCACTCACAGGTGATGCAGCGCAGAGTCCCGGCACGTGCCAAAACATCTTGCACAGTGACAGTTATGTCAGTACCCACACTGTCACGATATCACAACCCAAGCGGATTTAGAGCTCAGATTTCCACATCATGAGCTGATATCCTTGAAATAGATGATAGTGAGATAACACAGGGAAAAGTTTCATCAACGAATAAAGGAAGCATTGGTATGGAGAACATATATCCTTTACACACCAATAAACTACCCACTGGAAACTGTTTTCTACTACCTCCGTCCCAAAAAGAATGTCATTCTAGGTTTGGACTAAGTCAAGCTTGACTAGACTTATAAAAAAACATTATCAAGATTTGCATCTCTAAATAGATTTATTATGAAAATATATTTCATTATTTATCTAGTGGTACTTATTACACATCATAAATATTAGTTTATTGTTTTGTATATTTGGTCAAACTTGAGATTCATTGACTTCTCGAAAAACGAGTACTACAGAAACTGTTGTCCTATATTTTAACTGGAAACACTGTGATTAACCACCTGGCATGCTACCCACACAATGCTGCTTCCCCATTCACAGTCTCATCTATAACATGAGTATACATTTGGGCTTACAACACCTAAAAAGCTTAAGAAACAGTGTTCAAACAACAACAACAACAACAAAGCCTTTTAGTCCCAAGCAAGTTGGTGTAGGCTAGAGTTGAAACCCAACATGAGCCCCTAGTCACGGTTCAGGCATGTCAATAGCTGCTTTCCAAGCACTCCTATCCAAACAAAGATCTCTAGGTATATATTCTAACCCTTTAAATCTCTTTTTATTGCCTCCCCTCATGTCAGCTTCGGTCTTCCTCTACCTCTCCTCACATTGATATCTCGACTTAGGACTCCACAATGCACTGGTGCCTCTGAAGGTCTCCTTTGGACATGGCCAAACCACCTCAACCGATGTTGGACAAGCTTTTCTTCAATTGGTGCTACCCCTAGACGATCACGTATATCATCGTTCCGAACTCGGTCCATCCTTGTGTGACTACAAATCCAACGCAACATACGCATTTAAGAAACAGTGTTCAAACTTTGACTCATAAAGCTTTCTTATCTGGCTACTGCAGACCATTAAGTACCCACCCAACAAACTAACCCACACCACCCACTTCATCAACAGGGCATGACATTGTATACATCTCAAACTTTATAAGAATTCCAAAACACTGTCAGAAGTTAGAACTTTAAAACATTTAATTTAACACCCTGAAAGCCCAAAAGCCAAACCCCTAAACAGAAGAAACTCGACAAAAGTGAATATGGAACCACTGGTCATCCAATTAAACATCGCTAGCCTCAACAAACATCAATTCACCTTAAGAAACAATGCAACCAAAGCAACAGAAAACTAAATTCCAATTGCATCCTTACCACCAAAAAACCTTTCCAGCATAGAATGGAAAGCACAAATATGCATTAAACAAAAGCCCCCGAGATCCCCTGCGCTGAAATCTTCAAAAAGTGTACAACAGCCAGTCAGCTACCGAATAGCAATCCCCCCATTATCAGCTTCCAGATTCAATACAGCTACACTCGAAGCAACAATTGAGGAGCCAGATCACATCAGAGTTGGAAAAGAACTTGCAAAGGCAAAACAATGTTTACCCCCACACCTCCAGCCTACCCCGCCACAAAAGTCCGAACGGTCTAATAAGCCAAAGCAATCCTACGAGCTTCCAGCTCCGAAAGCACCAATCCGCAAAGCGAAACAGCTAAAGCCACGACTGACACAGCAACACACGGCAGCCCCCACCCACCCGCATACAAAAAAGCAAGCGCACAAACACAAACGACATCACTCCCCAACTAGCTCCCAGCTGCCCACCCCAGCTCCGCCGCAAACCTCTATCTCATCTCTCGATACATCAAATCACAGCTCACAGGACGACGCGATCGAAGTGAGTGTAGAGAGCTAGCGGCAAACAGCAGTTGGGAGCTGGACAAAGGAGCGGAGTTCCTCACCGGTGGCCAACGGAGAGGCGACGGAGGCTCCGAACCCAGGCACAGGCGCACAGCAGCTCGTTGTCGTCGTGGCGGCGACGGCGGCGGAGAGGGGGGAACAGCGAGTGAGCAGAGAGCGCCCTCTCGCGATCCGAAGCTTTAGAGGCTCTCGCCAAGCCGAGCTGGATCCGGGTGGCCGCCGCGAAACCCTAGAATTTGCCAATCGCGAGATGAGGAGGGGAGACGGAAGGGCGCGGAGGCGGAGGCGGAGGTGGAGGAAGGGAAGCAAGAGCCAAGAGGGCGAGGGTTCGATCGCGAGGCGGAGATGGAGCAGAGGCAGGGAGAGAGACTTTGGGGAGAATAATCTAATGAGAAGGGCTTCGTCTCGATGCGACATGGAGAGTCTCCGTCCAGGTGCGGGTATATACGGTTGCCTCTCTTGTCACTGGGGGGCCACGCCTCGTGGGCCCGTACGGCAGTGAGAGTAGTTTGAATTCCTCGGTGGCGCTGGAGGGTTGCGCGAAGACGTACGCTACGATTACACGCGGTGTACCCTGGTCGTTTCTGGTCGTTTGAAATACAACACTTATACTATTGAGAGGGCCACATCCTTTGGGGGACCGCGTCACAGTGTCACGTGAAAGGAAGATTTCGGTAGCAGTGGCTTTTCCGGGGATAATGACGTGGCATGGGTCGGGCCAATAGCTCCTGCCGGCGTCCATCGGGCACTACTGTTGACCCGTGGTTCTCCCACTGCCCGTGGGTCCACGAGAGTGTGGAACACTTTTTGTCAGTGGACTTTACAGAGCCTCACTGGCATCCGAGATTCGATCTAGCAGGATTCCGTCCGGCTACAGTTACACGGTTAGCGTACGTGCAGTACTGCCGGGTTGGTCGAGGCGAGACACTGCCTCGCTGGGCCATGAATTCCGCAGGCCCCAGCGACTGGTCGTACATTCCAACTGTAGTTCCCTTTCCCTTTTACAGAGTAGAATGTTCCTAATTCCATATCTATAATATCATAAAAAAACATCTATAGCTCCTACTCAGTCCTTGAGTCAAAAAATTTAGCCCTCCAATGCCAATGACGTCTACTTTTAGTGTAACTAAAGCTACCAACAATATGAATTGTCCATTTAATTTAAACCTTATGATCAGTCAGCCTGTTCGCTGGTTGGTTTCTGTGCTGATAAGCCCGGCTGATGCTGGTTTGTTGTGAGAGAAAAACACTATATCATGGCTGATAAGCCCTGGCTGAAACCAACGAGCGAATAGGCTAAGTATGTTAGGAAAAAATTTGCAGTTGCCTGGAATGCCAATCGAATATGTGCAATGTATATACTTGTGCAATATGTTCAGCACTTGCCCAGGAAACAAAGTCAAACATAAAAACAATAAAGAAACAAGACACTGACCAAAACTTCTCTTTGCATTGTGATCAATCAGTCACACACCTACCAGTACTGAAAAGACGAGACACAAAGCACAGGTTCACTTCTTGCTGTCTTGCTGATGCAACCACCGTTGATGACTTGTGTTGTCAAGCGACCATAGATGGATCATTTTGAGTGAAAGCACAAAGCGTTACAGTATGCCATGGTAACTTCAGGTGAAAACGAGATATTGCAATCCTGGCAAAGCAAAATTCAGTGCAGCAACCATTATAGTATGCCAAGGCAATTTCAGAAGGAGACACTATACAGAAACTACGTTTCTGCTGGTGACTAAAAGGTGAGTGTAGTATGTACTTACTAGTAGTTTGTAGCAGCCATTACCCAAATGCTTTCGAGCATCAAGATTTCTTAAACTGAGCATCATCACAGATCTGCAGGCCAACCTTGCTGTCAAGATCACCGGCGACCATGGGGCAGCAACATCCAGCATTGCACGTGGGCCCAAGATTGAGCTCTGTGAATGTGAACTACAACCATCTAGGGATCAGCTGAGCTTGTCATATCTTTCTTTTTCTTTTTTCAGGTGAGGCATTAACAGAGGTAGTTATTGCAGCCTCGATGGGCTCCACCTGAAGCCCACACATAGGATACCTGAATGGCTCGGCCCAGTACACAATATGCTGGCCACTCCCACCAATTAGTACCACCTCGGTTGCTCACTTTTGTAGAAGCTAGCTTAAAAGTTCACCTCTGGAGCCTAAGGGCCTATTTAGTTCCCAAAAAATTTTGCGTAGTATCCATCACATCGAATTTTGCGGCACATGCATGGAATATTAAATGTAGACGAAAAAAAAACTAATTGCACAGTTGGGTGAGAAATCGCGAGACGAAACTTTCGAATCTAATTAGTCCATAATTAGACACTAATTGCCAAATACAAACGAAAGTGCTACAGTAGTCAAAACCCAAAAAATTTTGGATCTAAACGCGCCCTAACCTCGTGACCTTACTTGAACAGGATCTGTCGTACCGCTGCTTAGCTAAGCACTTAAGCTTAGCAAGTCATTAGTAAGTCATGACCAAGAGCATGATAAACCGCAAGTGTGCTGTAGACAATCGTTCCTGGTCAGCATGTGGCCTACAGGTTGTCTGACAGCCTTTTCTTTTTTTGTTTTTCATGTTTTTTGCTTTGCTGCATTTGAAAACACATGAGCAAAAATAGTGTTATCATAAACGTTAAACGGTAAACAGTCAGTCACCTACCGTTTAGCCTATTATTCGAGCAAAACGGGTATTTAAACGGGAAAAACGACCGTTTAAACGGTCAAAACAACCGATTAAATGGAAATGGTCGTTTAAACGGTGTGTAAACGGGCTAAACGGCCGTTTAGGCGAACAGTGCAAAATATTCCAGCTGTTTTTCCTCAACATTTGCTCTCATATTAAAATATACAGATCTCTTGATGGTTTTTGGCTTTTTGCCATTAATAATTGACCTTTTTTAGCTGTGCTGCATTTGAAGGGAATTTGAGCTCAATATTCCTGTCAACATCTGTTTTTTTTTTTGCTGAACGCTGCTCTCAATTTAAGGGGGCAGATCGATCTCTTGCTCAGGTTGTCTGGATCCTTTTTTTGTTTTTCTTGTTTTTTGCTGTGCTGCATTTGGAAACACATATATGAGCAAAATATTCCAGGGGTTTTTTCCTCAATGTTTGCTCTCAAAATAAAAGATACAAATATCTTGATGATTTTTGGCCGTTTGCCATTAATAATAAACCTTTTTTAGTTGTGCTACATTTGAAGGGAATTTGAGCACAATATTCCTGTCAACAGCTGTTTTTTGCTGAACGTTGCTCTCAATTTAAAGGGGCAGATCGATCTCTTGCTCGTTTTACCATTAGTAGAGCAAGATTTTTTAGTACAGTTTTGCCTGCTTCAAGTTGCTTCTTCGTCTCCGACTGTATGCGAATCTGCGATGTAGAACACATTAGTGTTGAGCCATCATGATTCTTTCTACTTGATCTGCAGAAACATTAGTTGTTTTGATCTCCTTTTTTTCTTTTTTGTTCCGAGTAAAACTATACGTTTCAAAAAAGCAAGAACCGAGTTCCTGTACCTTGTGACAACTGACAATGTGACCCATACTTGATACTACAGCCGTATTGGGCTATTGGCGTATTCTGCATCTCTGCGGTGTACGTATAGCTAGTAAATCTTCAGAATTAACACTGCATCATCATCCATTTTCCAACTACCGGAACGGATCCATTTCAGTTCAGGAACTAACCCATTGCTGCTTGATTTTGGTCTCTCCGCTGATCTGGCCAACACACAAAGCACGCATAAAGGAGCTACTCAACAACAACAACAACAACAAAGCCTTTAAATCCTAAACAAGTTGGATAGACTAGAGTTAAAACCCAGCAGAAACAATCAAGGTTCAGGCATGTGAATAGCTGTCTTCCAAGCACTCCTATCTAAGGCTAATTCTTTGGTTATATTCCATCCTTTCAAGTCTCCTTTTATTGCCTCTACCTAAGTCAACTTCGATCTTCCTCTGCCTCTCTTCACATTACTATCCTGCCTTAGGATTCCACTACGCACCGGTGTCTCTGGAGGTCTTCGTTGGACATGTCCAAACCATCTCAACCGGTGTTGGACAAGCTTTTCTTCAATTGGTGCTACCCCTAATCTATCACGTATATCATCGTTCCGAACTCGATCCCTTCTTATATGACCGCAAATCCAATGTAACATACGCATTTCCGTGACACTTATCTGTTGAACATGTCGTCTTTTCGTAGGCCAACATTCTGCACCATACAACATAGCAGGTCTAATCGTCGTCCTATAAAACTTACCTTTTAGTTTCTGTGGTACCCTTTTGTCACATAGGACACCAAATGCTTGCCGCCACTTCATCCACCCTGCTTTGATTCTATGGCTAACATCTTCATCAATATCCCCGTCTCTCTGTAGCATTGATCCTAAATATCGAAAAGTATCCTTCCTAGGCACTACTTGACATTCCAAACTAATATCTTCCTCATCCCGAGTAGTAGTGCCGAAGTCACATCTCATATACTCAGTTTTAGTTCTATTGAGTCTAAAACCTTTGGACTCCAAAGTCTCCCGCCATAACTCCAGTTTCTGATTCACTCATGTCCGACTTTCATCAACTAGCACTACATCGTCCACGAAAAGCATGCACCAAGGGATGTCTCATTGTATGTCCCTTGTGACCTCATCCATCACTAAGGCAAACAGATAAGAGCTCAAAGCTGACCCTTGATGTAGTCATATCATAATCAGGAAGTCATCCGTGTCTTCATCACTTGTTCGAACACTAGTCATAACATTATTGTATATGTCCTTAACGAGCTCGACGTACTTCGTTGGGACTTTATGTTTGTCCAAAGCCCATCACATAACATTCATTGGTATTTTGTCATAAGTCTTCTCCAAGTCAATAAAAACCATGTGTAGGTCCTTCTTCTCCCTATACCGCTCCATAACTTGTCTTATTAAGAAAATTACTTCCATGGTTGACCTACCGGGCATGAAACCAAATTAGTTCATAGAGACCCGCGTTATTGCTCTCAAGCGATGCTCGATAACTCTCTCCCATAGCTTTATAGTATGGCTCATCAACTTAATTCCCCGATAATTAGTACAACTTTGAATATCCCCTTTATTCTTGTAAATCGGTACCAATATACTTCTCCTCCACTCGTCAGACATCTTGTTCGATCAAAAAATATGGTTGAACAACTTGGTTAGCTATACTATAGCTATGTCCCCGAGGCATCTCCACATCTCGATTGAAATACCATCCGGTCCCATCGTCTTATCTCCTTTCATTCTTTTCAGCGCCTCTCTGACCTCAGATTCTTGGATTCTCCGCACAAAGCGTCTATTGGTGTCATCAAAAGAGTCATCCAACTGAAAAGTTGTGTCTGTATTCTAACCATTGAACAATTTGTCAAAATACTCTTGCCATCGATGTCGGATCTCATCCTCCTTCACCAAGAGATGCTCTCTTTCATCCTTAATGCACTTAACTTGGTTGAAATCTCTTGTCTTTCTCTCACGAACCCTAGCCATCCTATAAATGTCCTTCTCTCCTTTCTTCGTACCCAAATGTTGGTAAAGATCCTCGTACGCTCTACCCTTTGCCATACTTATAGCTCGCTTTGCAGTATTCTTTGTCACCTTATACTTCTCTATGTTGTCCACACTCCTATCATGGTACAAGCGTCTATAGCATTCTTTCTTCTTCTTAATAGCTCTTTGGACTTCTTCGTTCCACCACCAAATATCTTTAGCCT